TAGAAAAACCTTGTGCTAATTTATTTCTTATTTACTGATGAAATTTCAAAACTGTAAATGTAATCATATAAGCACTGTTTTATATTTTATTACCATATTTAGCAATTCTATTTCAAATTGTTTACATTTTTATAAAAAGAACAAACTGTATAGTAAATGAAAGAAACGTTTTTGAAATATAATTTTCAATTATATAAATACCTTTTATTCTTTCATCAGTTAACTTGAAGGTTATGATAATGTAAACAAGAATAAATCTACCTGTCTAATGTATAGATTTTTTGTGACGAAAGACATGACTTACCTCAAAGTTCAAAACGAGTGCGAATGTGTCTTGCCTGCAAAGTAATGAGGGAAAGAAATATGGCCACTATTGAAGACGCAATTTATGAGCGCCAATCTCATCCAAAACAAGACGATATTCGCACACATGCAAATTTTCAGTTGTATCAGACTGGCATAAAAAGTGAGATGCCAGCAGCACATGCAGAAGGTTGGAGTCATTCGGCGGACTTCATGCAATAGAGTTGGATGTACGAATTGACTGACGGACAAGGAGGAAGTTAAGTAGGCGCGGCTGAGTTGGTGTCTGTTTCACGACTGCCCGGTGTAACGGACGAGAAAGGGAGACTTGCAATCCATTTCCTTGAGGTGACCGACGATGAAGGATGAACAGCTGGTCTGCCGGCGAATGGCTCTTTCTGACCCCTCTCTCGTAACTTTCTTCTTTTTGTTTACTACAAGCTATTTCAGCAGTTATGGCAAAGGTTTGCATAAGCAGCAACGTCGTAAAACCATTTTCCCGTCAAGGCGATGTGGTGACATGGCTGAAAAAGGCAAGACTTCAGCAGGTGGACGATGTAGCTAGCCTGCTACCATTGTACCTGGAGGGGGACGCACTAGCCCTTTACATGGAAATGGAGGAGGAAAATCAGAGAGATACTGATCAGATTGAAGCCAGTCTGAAGCAGGCATTTATGGACGACGCATTTTCAGCATACAGAAAGCTGACCATGGTCAGGTAAACTAGCAAACGTGTGGATGTCTACGCGAACAAAATCAGGCAGCTTGTTGGATTGGCCGGAATCGAGGAAGCCGAGATAGAAAGGCTCACCAAACTAGCCTTCATCATGGGGTTCCCTGTTGCGATTTCCCTTGAACTCCGACAGGCACCGAATGTTGAAGCTCTGACTGTAGGGGAGTTATTAGCAAGAGCAAGAGTGCTGACAACAACCGGAGATGAAAGTCAGAACGTAGTTGCGTCTGTGTGCCCACCCCGTAGCGACGGCGCATCTCCTACCAAGAATGGCCCACTCACCAGTGTGACATGCTTCAGGTGCAGCGGCAAAGGCCACATAGCAAAAGACTGCCGGAAGTGCAGAACACGCTGATATCAATGCGGGGATGTTGGACACTGGGCCTGAGACTTTGGGAAACGCTACAGGGGACAAGGCATCAAGCTTTTTCCCCAACCAAGATGTAAATACGGTGCTCTCGGTGGCAAACATCCTTGTGGACGGAACTTGGTGTTCAGCATTGATTGATACTGGCTGTACACGGACGATTGTGGATGCCGATCGGTGCTGGTTTTGGAAGAGAGTGACGGTGGACGTCATGACTATTGGACGCATGTCCCGTCCATGTTGCAGTGAAGGAGTGGTAACTGTATCCATGGAGGAAGGTGGTTCTGTCAAGATCAACGTGTTGGTGGTGCGTGGTAAACCACTGGGATTTGACCTGCTATTGGGGATTGATGCCATAACAGCATTGGGAGGCATTGCTGTTGGGCCTATGGGACGAGTACAGATTGGCAATGGGCGAGCAGCCAAGTGTGCAGACATTACTGTTGATGAACCTGACTTCACTGTCACCTTCGATTATCAGAGGCAATCCTGGACTATGGCATGGAAGTGGTCAGAGAACCGCATGCCTGAAAAATTGCACAATGGGGTTTCTGAGTACCCGGTAGCAGCAGAAATCAGGCAGGGCTATGAGCAGAAGCTCTGCATGTGGATCAGCAATGGCTGGCTCATGCCGTACCCAGAAGAAAGACTGAGGCCTCCCAAAGGGCTAATTCCCCTAATGGCCGTACTACAGCAGAACAAGTCTAAAGTACATCCAGTGATGGACTTCTGGGAGCTCAACCATCATGCTGACACTTTCACAGCCGATGCAGACGTCTGTGCAGCTAAACTGCGTGAATGGCGGCAGAAGGGGTCCAATATGTCCTTGTTGGATCTCAGGAGAGCATACCTCCAAATACGTGTCCACGAGTCACTCTGGCCATACCAGACCGTGAAAATTGATGGGAAAAGATATTGCCTGACACGTTTAGGATTCGGATTAAATGTGGCTTCCCTTGTCATGAAGGCGATCATTGACATGGTGCTGGCTCAAGGAGAAACTGTGGGTCACGCAGCATCTGCCTACATTGACGACATCTATATCAATGAAGATGTCGTTCCCGCGTTAAAGAACATCTGGCTCAGTTTGGGCTGGAATGCAAGGACCCAGAACGGTTGGAGGATGGCGCATGGGTACTAGGATTGGCGGTCGCGATGGAACAAGGTAGATTGTGGTGGAGATGAGGAAGTGTGGTTCTTAATGCCCCCAGTGTCGTTACGCAACGGAAAGTGTTCTCTCTGTGTGGAAGGCTTGTTGGGCACCTCCCAGTGTGTGGTTGGCTCAGTGTGGCATGTGGAATGCTCAAGAGGAGAGCAAGTTCAGTTACGAAGGGCTGGGATGACGAAACAAAGGATGCCCTCCTCCAGCGCATGGTGTCTGAGACTGTGGATTCTGTGCAATGGGACCATGTGGCCCATGGGGAGTAGTGCGTGGATGCCCGGGAGCTGAACGTGTGGGTTGATGCAAGTTCCCTGGCGACCGGAGTGGCGTTAGAGAGCCACAAAACCGTGCTTGTTGGCTGTGACCTAAAGACGACGCTCAACATATCAACCTGGCGGAGCTGGATGCCATGTTGAAAGGCATCAATCTAGCACTCCATTGGCAGAGCAAGATGCTACACATAAAAATGGATTCCATTTGTGTGTACCACTGGGTATAGGATACTCTGACTGGGAGAGCGCAAGTGCACACCAAGGCGGCAAACGAAATGCTCATTAGGAGGCAGCTGAACACTCTCAAGGAGCTCGTAGAAGAGTATCAGTTGACCGTGGATATGACACTGGTTCCATTGGCTCAGAATGTAGCTGATCAGCTGACTAGAGAACCAATGATGCAGTGAAAAGAAGCAATGGACCCAGGCCACTGATTGGCGCCACCCATGTGGACGAACTGGACGCAGACCAAATCATGTCCATCCACGTGTGAAGAATGTCAGTCTATAGACACCGCACCAACTCACTAGCAAAAAGGAAAGCTTGAGGTAAGCAGAAACTGGCAGAGACTAGGGATGGATATCACCCACTATGGTGCCCATCATTTCTTAATGCTGACTGACTGCGGCCCATCGCATTTTTCAATCTGGAAGCAGTTAGCGAGACAGGACTCGGCAGCCGTGATTCGCCAGCTGAAAGCAGTGTTTCTCAAGCAGGGCCCACCCCACGAGCTACTCATGGACAACGACCCAGCTTTCTGCAGCAGAGAATTCAGAACCTTTGCGTGCATGTGGGGAGTCAACTTGCAGTTCCGTTGTGCATATGCCCCAGCTGGGAATGTATAGCAGAGCGATGCCACCACACAGTAAAACGAATCGCGGCCAGGATGCACTGTTCCGTCCTGGAAGCCGTCTACTGGTAGAATGTCACACCAAAAGACAGTGCATCACTCCAGACTGCGCCAGCCAACAGGATCCACCGATATGAACTGAGGGTGAAAGGGGGTTGACGCCCCAACGATGTCTTCAGACCCTGGGCACGGCTCTTACCAGGTCGGAGATCGCTTGTGAGTCAAGCCACCAATAAGTCGGTGCACCACCAGGTTCAACAGGGGTCGGGTGACGAAAATGATCAGCTCGCAGTCATTTCTGTTGGACGGAATACCCCGCCACGTTAAGGATCTACGTCCGCGCCATGGTTTCAGCGTGTCCGAGGAAGGTTCTGATGACACATCTGAGAGCGAGGCAGAAAGTTTGCTGCTTGACAAAGAAAGTGCAGAGTGCATCATTCCACCCGAAGAGGGAGCAAGAGCAGAGCTCCCCACCCTGCCTTTGTGAAGAAGCACCCATTGAAAATGACCATCGCTGGGCTGCCACCTTTGTGATCATGAGATCAGGAAAGGGTGTGACGAAAGACATCACTTACCTTGAAGTTCAAAATGAGTGCGAATGTGTCTTGCCTGCAAATTAATGAGGGAAAGAAATATGGTCGTTATCAAAGGCGCAATTTATGTGCGCCGATCTCGTCCAAAACGAGACGATATTTGCACACATGCAAATTTTCAGTTGTATCAGACTGGCATAAAAAGTCAGATGCCAACAGCATGAGCAGAAGATTAGTCATTAGGCGGACTTCGTGCAGTAGAGTTGGACGTACGAATTGACTGACGGACAAAGAAGTTGATGTAGGCGCGGCTGAGTTGGTGTCTGTTTCATGATTGCCCGGTGTAACAGCCGAGAAAGGGAATTTTACAATCCATTTCCTTGAGACGACCGACGACAAAGGAACAACACCTGGTCTGCCAGCGAACGGTGCACTGCACTTTCTGACCCCCCTCTCGTCACTTTCTTCTTTTTGTTTACTACATTTTAAAAGCTATCTGTTGTCAGTAGGAAACAAAAGGATGATTTGTGCTAAATGTCCTGCAGAGATTTTAAAGGAATTCTCTTTAAAAAGTTGTCAAAGGGCTAGCATTTATGTAATTCTTGAATTTGCTTGAAGGTTTTTACTTTTTGAACTTTAGTTTTGTCTGTTTACTTATTGCAGTTTTTATTATTTTAAGTTTTATTAATTTTGGAATACAAAATATTCTTTGTTATTGCATAAAATTTGATGTATATATATTTTATTTGATATTGTTTCATTTTTAATTATGAATTTCAGGACAGTATTTTCAAGATGTCTCTTTCTCCAAACCAGAAACAGCTGGCAACTCTTCATTACTCAGGAAAACTTGTACTCTGGGATGTGCCTTCATTGCATAAGAGAAAATCTTGGACTCATGAACAACAGGTAAAGAGTTAATAGATAATTGTTAATATTTATAAGATCTTATTTTTGTATAGTAACTGGATTAGCTTACCTTTCACAATACTTGAATTGCTTGTGAGACAAATTCAAGAATATCTAGATAGAAAAAGCTACTTCCATTAGACAACAATCCCGAATTGAAAAGATTGATACAAGAAAGAAAGAAACAGATGAGGGGAAAAAGTGAAATACAAAATAATTAAAAAAGGAAATAGAAAAAACTAGTTAATGCTATAAAAAACCAATATTTCTGGAAAATTGGAAATAAAATTAATGAAGCAGCATAGACAATGTGCTGAAATAGGGAGAAAATAAAAAAAAAAATCTTAACAAAATCATGTAACCAATACCAAAAACTTTCATTCCAAACCACACTAAAGATGCTCATGGAAATAAAACATATACCAATATACATCCGATCATTACAAACTTTGTCTCCAAACATAAACAATAATGAACCTAATGATTAGGAAGTTAAGAAAACTATAAAAGAACTAAGAAATAATAAAGCACCAGTTGACATTGAAGCTGAACTTTTGAAAATAGCTTACCTTCTCTTTGAATTCAATAACAAGTTTCTCAATTTTATGAAAGAAATCTGGAATTGGAAATGCATCCCAAAAATTTGGGGTTTATCTTACATTAATCTACTATGGAAACAATAGCTAGTTCTCAAAACTCATGCACATACAGAGGTATCTCAATTGTATCCATTATGGTGAAAGTACTAATGGACATTGTCTTAACTAGGCTCTCATCGTTTTATTAAAGTTAACTCCTTACAACCCAATTTGGTTTTTGTTTTAGTAAGGGGCATATATGCCATCAAACAATTCCAGGAAATTGTATACCTCTTCCAGAGTAAACTGTATAGCGGCTATGTTGACTTCACAGCAACATATGACCATATCAATAGATACCTTCCAAACTGAATGTCTAGATCTGATAGAGGAACTATATGAAACCACAAAATCATTCATGTCTGGCGATTACCTTAGTATGGATATATTTCAAACCTCATCATGAGAATGACAAGGAGTGAATGAGAGCCCCAATCTATTTAATCTTTTCCTAGACTGTGCCCTGTACATATACAAGCACAGATGTGTAAACATGGGCTCTGATCATTAATCATTCCATATCACATCCCAAACTAATTGAAAACAGCTATTTTGCTTCCCTTCCCACAGCCAAAGTATTGGTGTTGATGGGGGCTATGCTGATGACATAGGTATTCATAGTTGGAATAAGAATGAGCTTGAACAAAAAATAAGCCTCCTCTACCAAGTATTCCAAGAAATAAGATTCAGGAAAATCTTACCAAAACACAAACTATGATCTGGAATTGGAATGAAAGCAGTGATATCACTTACCACGTCATAAAAGTTCTGGATGTGAAATTAGTAAATACCAAACACTTGAAATACCTCAATGTATGGATCAGTTATAGCAAATTTAGTATAGGAGAATTGAACATAGAATAGATTGCGCTAGAGATAGTTTCACCCAATGCTGCAAATTGATACAAAACTTAAATACTCATGTCAAGTTCTTAAATAACATTGTCAGATCAAGACTTTCATGTGGATGTTATGCATGGCACCAAACTTGTTCATAAATATCTAAACTGTCTACTGTATACAGCTGCTTTCTAAGATCAATGTTCACAAATGGCTTTAAGTGAATGAAACCTATACGTCTTAATGACGATGCTCTTTGAACCTTGCGGATTGGTGCTACAGAATCATGAACAAGGAACTGTATCAAATAACAGAAACCATATCACTTAGGGACTTCCAATAGCAGCAACAACTAAAATGGATAGCATATGTAACTCATGGAGAAAAAATGACATAAACAAGATGTTGAAATTCCATACTACTTCAAGCAAAAGTTTACTGAACTTAAGAAACCTATTTTTCTGAAAAATTGTTGTAAAAGTAAGATTTTATAAATTTCAACCAAATGTAGTACTTTCTGCTCAGTCATTGAATGCTGGATGTTTCCTTATAAAGAAAGCATTACCATTGATCAATTGAAGAAAATGTTGAAATAACTTGCTTTACATGATATTAATTTACTTTGTCCTAATTTAATTTTTTTTCTTGTATAATTGAGCTTCAATTAATTTTCTACTTGTTCATTTATTTCTATAAAGCTTTATATTTGGTATTTAAAATTAATTCACAGTAACATTTAAATAAATGATTAGTTATAAGCAAATAAATTACAAGTACCATATTTTCCGGACTATAACCGCAACTTTTTTCTCAAAATATGTAGGGTGTGGGTTATATAACGGTGTGGGCTATATAGGAATTGTGTCTTCGAACCTTGAGTGGCCAGGCTTAGGGGAACATAGCTTCACAAAAACCGGGCGCCAGCATCGAACCAGTTATGTCCAGATAGTTGAATTTATAGGAGTGCAGTTTATATACAGGTGTGGACTGTAGTGTGGAAAATATGGTAACTAAATATCATTTTTTGATAAATTTGAAATTTTTACTTCAGTAGTGAAAATTTATAACTGAAATTCTGAAATTTTCTGTTATAAATTCTTTTGTAAAATTAACATTAATTCTTATTAAATGTAAGATGTATACAATTTAGAATATGAGTAAGTTTTTGTTGTACTAGAGAATTTCAGTTTTAAACTTTTTAGATTAAGATTTGCCTTATACAGATTTTTGACTTTTGTAACTTTTTATAAACTTCTATATTCAACTAGTCTTTTAAGATATTAAATATTAATATTTATAGATTATTATATATGAAAGTGTCATTTCTCTAATTTTGGAACGCAAGTTAAGGCAACTCGACTTCATATAAATAAACTTGATATGTTTTTGAGATTGTTCTTTAGGTTTTTTATCTATAGAATATATTAACCAAATAAATTTAATAAATTATACTTTGTGATAATAAAAGTATTATATAAAAATTATTATTTTTCATAATTATCTTATTTATTATTCTTCCAAATTTGATAAATTTTATTATCTTTTGCTTTAGCCTTGTCATGATGAGCTAAACCCAGAATTTCTTGACAAACCACAGAAAAGAAAACTCATAAAAGGTATTTATTCTTGAATGATATTTCATTTGTTTAAAATGATATATCAATAAAAAATCATTTTCATGAAAATACAAAATACTAAAATATTTATAGAGCATTGCTATATAAAATATAAGTTCTTAGATAATTTTAACTTTTATAATTGTAAGCAAATATTTTTCTAGTTACATAAATATTTCTCAGTTTTATGCCTTCTCTGATTATAGTTTGAGTAGATATCTTCTTTTATGTGCTATGTCCCTACAGGATGTAGGCAATTCTGCCTCTCCATTTTCTCCTATCCTTTGTAACCCTCAATAAGTTTTGTCTTTTAGTTATTTCTCCCTGACCCTGTTTTGCCATCCACTTGTTAAGTATGTCATGCTTTCTCTTGTCCCTCTTGCCCTCTATCTACCCTTGTGAATATCAGATTTTCCAAGCACTCTTTTCTCATTATGTGTCCTAGAAATTTCATCTACCTCTTCTGATGTTAAGTATAAGTTTCCTCTTTGTTTGCATCATCTCCAAAACCTCATCGTTGCTCACATGTTTGGTCCATGGTATCTTAGCATCCTTCTGTAGAGCCATACCTTTGTTGCCTTCATCTTTGCGGATACTGCCCAACATTATCTGCTGTAAAGGAGGACAGATATCATGTAGTAGCTCAGCACTCTTTTCTTTGTTACCAACAAAATCCTCCTGTCTCGTAATAACAGAAGATAGCTTTTGGAATGTGTCTTTGGCCACCCCAATATGTCTTTGGATCTCATAGTTGCAGTTACTCTGTCAGATATTTAAATTTCCATACCTGCTTGATTTTAGTGTTCCATTTTGGGCTCATCTTTTTGCTGATGATGATGCATTCTGTCTTCTTGTAATTTATGCTTAGTCCCTTCTTCTTGCTCTCCTTCGCTACCTTCTGTAGGAAGTTTTGTAATTTGCTTTCCATGTCTGCTATCAGCACTGTGTCATCTGCATGTCTTATGTTGTTAAGATTGTGGCTGCCAATAATGATTCCTAGTAGGATTTCCACTTCTCTCAGAAATGCCTTGCTGTATAGGTTGAATAAGTCCAGTGAGAAGACACAACTTTATTGTAATGAATAAGAAGTTTGAAAAAAATAATTGATCAAATGAAACATAGGAATCAGGAAGTTTTTACCAGTTCCATTGTTCTTTTTTTATTTGCATTATTATATGTGCACAAGCATAAACTGTAATAATATTTGATTTTATAAATGTGCATACATTGTAGTAAGTAGACTTAATATTTTCTTAAAATGATTTTCATTTTACTTTGACAAAAATTGTTGGTATAATGTTGAAAATTTTCTGTATTTCAACCAGAGACGTTTTATTCCCATTATTTTTTTTTATTTTTTTAATAGAAATAATATTTTTTTTATCTTATTAAGAATTATATATTTTTACACAAACAAATATTTATATATTATCTATTAGAATGTACTTAAAAATAAAAATTTTAAATTTTAGGGGATTGTAATTTTCATTGATTGTAACAAATTTTCTACTTTTATATTTAAATATAAAATAATTGGGGAGTTACATGTGCTTTTGTAATATAATGACATTGCATGTCATGAACAGAATAACTAAAAAGAAAAGGAATGACAAACATGCATTGTTCTCAAAATTTTATAATGCTACATTGTACACAAAATTATATATACATGTGTCTTATATGTAACAACAGTGTGTAAAAAAGGGGAGCCTTACTTGTAATATTTCTCAAAGGGAAAATTAGAGTTTCTCTTAGAACCTGGTGAGGCCATGTGGTCTTTCTTGAAAGACTTACTGCTGTGGCCATTTTTCTCCAGGCTCTACATTGTAATTGCCCTTTGTCACTCTATCTCCTGATGTGACCTTTGTGACTATCTCAATGAAAGGGAGACAATCGCCTTTTGTATTCCTACAGTTAAAGCAACTATTAAAATTTGTATGTGATGTATCACATATTTCATGATAAGTTGATTTCTTGTTATTATTTAGTACAATCGAACTAATGTGTTAACCTTTACTCCATACTTAGGTATCCAAGTTGGGTCTTTGTTGCTGATATATATGCAACCTATATTGTTGATTTCTCTAACCATTTTTGTGTTGTTCTAGGAAAATCTCTCTTGTTATCTTAAAAGCTAATGTATGCAAATTAGGTGAACTTGCTTTTCAATACCTCTCAGTTATAATAGATACGACATCTTTTTAAGGAATATACCTGCAATGCTTTGTTTAATCCAATGGAGAAGTCTCCACATAAACATGACATGTCTTATTACTTTTCTTCACAATTATTATAGAAACAACATAGGAAGAAAAATTTACAAGTGAAATTTCAACTAATTTTTCCAAGCAATCCAATTCACAATTTATACTTTCAATAACCACAAAAGCACGATTTCTTTAGGATGAAAAAACTGACTTGGCTATTGTAATTTTTTCTTGTATAAGGTAACCAAAGAAATCCTTGTTGTTTTTTATGTTGTGTGGGAAGAAGTGATCACTGATAGGCAAATGAATGTGTCACGTGCCAGGAAACATAGCAGTGTCAAAGCAGCTTATTCAGGGTTGTCAGCAGCAACATCAAGTTAACAAATATGTTAAGCCTTTGGGCATAATATTGTGAATGAATGCATCACCAGGCATTGATTCCAGAAGTTCATGTTAGGTAGTATGTCCCTTTGTGATAAACCCCACAGTGGCTGGCCATAGGTCCAGGATGATAAGGCTCTGAAGGCAGTCATAGAGGAGGGCAACAGCCAAACTTTTGGTGAGTTTGCCAAATACTTCTAGGTTTCTGATGAAATAGTCAGACTTCACCTGCACAATATAGGGAAGACATACAAGTTGAGCGAGTGACAGCTTGTTTCTGGTTACTTTAACATTCCCATATTTGATCCAGTGCTCACCAGTGATGAAAAGTGGGTCTTGTATGACACTCTCAAGTATGCCAGACATTGGTTGTCACCATGGGATCTTGTGCCTCACATCACAAGACCACCTTTACACCAACACAAAATCATGCTCTGTATCTGGACTAGTTGACAAGTGGTGCACTATAAGCTGCTACCAATGGACCAAACCATCACTGTCCATCTGTACTCGCAGCAGTTGGAATATGTGGCGGACATGAGACAGAAGCTGGGACGAGCACAACTGGTCGCGACTTGCCTTGTCCCCGCCAAAAAAAGAGCCCATATTTGCTTAGCATGTAAAGCTACTGCAGTTGAAATGAGGGAGAAAAAAGCACTTATCGCTCTGCCGTAATCCGCCCCTCGGCCAGATAACGTAAAAAAGAATAAAGTAGTTTTTGCATTGCATTTTTATGCAATAAAGATGCAATGCATTATGGGACATGGACGCAATGAACTATGGGATCACATGAAGATGCAAGGGATTATGGGTATATTGACAAATATAAAAGCAACTACTTTTTTCCCCAGTGGGCAGTTCTTCGAGTGATGTTCACGGTTGGCGGCAAGAACAGTCTGTTAGTGTGATTTTGAGACAGAACTCAAGAAGGAACGACTCAAGTTTGAAATACCAGCTGGGAGAGCTTGAATTTACTCGCTGGTTGCTGTTTTTCTTTATTCGCCTCAGAATATATGCAGCATGCACTGAAGCACCACCTCTTCCACTCCCTGGGAAATTGTGGGAAATCTTCTGCAAATGAGGCAAACTTGTGGCAGGCACTCACAGATTTCTTTGTGTCCAAGACACCTGATTTTTATCACCAGAGCATTGATCAACTGGAGGTAAAAGGTTCTGGATACTGATGGGGATTACTTTGAGCACTAATGCTATGTCAAATTTGCTGTATACTTTTTCTCTAATGAATAAAAACGGCAGGGACTTTTTTGGTTACCTTGAAAAAAATTTTTTTTTTATTTGAGATGGGTTGAGTAAGCATGATTGCAAAGTGAATTAATGAACAATTCCATATAGCAAGTTTTTTAAAGTCGTTCAACAACCAAAAACTTCATAAATCATTATTTTTATTCATATGATGAACAGTATGGTTCAACCATTAAAAGAAGCAGTACATTTAACTTCACTAAATATTTTTTATACTGTACCTGAACATGATTTTTTGATATTTGAGAACTCCAGCTGAAGTGTTACTGAAGTATTGTTAATGTTTACATACAGAAATTTTCTTAATGAAAAAATAATCACTTTCTTTGGTTATTAGAATTAAGTTTTATTTTACGAAGTAATAACTTAAATGTTTTGCTTGACAATAAGTCTGTCTATGACTCTTAATACCACATTTATCACATAGCATGATTTTTACAAATTCCTGTTGTTGGAATATTGTAGTTTTTGAGCTAAACTCTTTTACAATTCATTGTTCCTTTCCACTTTTAAAAGAGGGTGCTGAAAAGTTCTTGGCCATACATCAGATTGACTAAAAACTTTTTCAGCTCTAAGAATTGTTAGATTTTTTTCAATTTCCATTGACTCATGCTTTAAATTTATTAACTGCTGAATCAATCACTAACTACAAAGTGATTTTTAGATCATTTATATCCTGGCATGAATATCAACTTCTTTTGTTGATTGACATTCCCAAATGAGAATGGGAAACTAATCATAATATGAAATATTCACACCTTCTGTTTGCAGAATTTATGTAAATGAAAAAGCATTGCTGGAGCTCTTTACAAGTTACTAATACTGATTATCTTGTGTAAAACACAGATGGTTTTCACTAAAAACTTTTGTTAGGTTCTATATTGCATCATCCATACTAAAATTAAACTATTTAATAAGACTATAATTGCAAGACATTTACTCATCACAACTTAATTTTCTTATTAACAGTTTGACTTACTGGTTTTCATTCCAGTTTTCATTCATTCTTGAAAAGATCTTTACAATAACTGGACCTTGTTTCAAAATTGTCATACAGTTTCTGGTTAATATTTAAATTTATTTTTGTTAACTGTAGCATCCTATTGTCCCCATCATTGTTGTTATAAACAAAAGGCTGTTGTCCTCTGGCCTTCATCAGTTGATTGTTACTCCAGGTGACCTTCAGGGAATTTTGAACTGAAACCTTTATTTAATCTACAAGGGTAGATTGTTCTCATTCTTTTGTCCATATCTGAGGATATCTTGTCTAATTGTAGTGAAAGAGATAATCAGTTACCTCGAAAAAACGTTTGTGTTCTGTGTGCAATCTGCTGAAGAAAAATTACCAAAAAGTAGTTAGCAAAAATCTACTTCAATGACTAGAATCTATGCTAATGTTGTCCTCTCCCCTGAATGGTGTGACCAATCAGAAAAATCTTTTGATGAACCAAAGCTGTTGTTTTTTCGCTTATAAAGGCAGAAGATTTTCTGAGCTGGAGCTGAACACACGTTTTTGCTCGTGAGAAGTGAAGGTTGGACGTGTGATCCCATTTTGTTGCTTCTACTTTGCTTGTTGGACTGTTACGACGGGCTATCGTTTGAACTGCGATTTGGCTACAAGTGTTGCGGTCAAGAAACAGAAGAAATCTATTGCAGTTGCTACTATAAGTTGATGGTCTTTTCTTTATTACAACACTAGTTCTTATTTAGTATTGCTCAGTTATTGTTTGCACTGTGAAAAATAGTGGGTTAAAGTGTTGGTGCTGGAAATGGAGTGAGCAATAACTGAATAGTACTAAATAAAAACTAAATGACATCTCATTGATATTAACTTCAGCAACTCCATATTTTGTTTTGGCATATGTCTGAATCATTGTTGCAAATAAGTCAGTTCCTTGTTGTTGAGTTGTCTAGTGCCTATGTTGTTGACTCCTGGGAACTTCTTTTGTTGCAGGAGAAATTACTCATTTTACTTGAAGTTACATGCATGCTAATTAGGTGAATCATCTATTTAAGTACATGTTCACTAAGTTTTTACATAATCTAAACAAATATATGCATTTTATTTTACTTTAATTTTAGACTTGGTTCAATCCAAGAATTTGCTTGATGTCAACTGGTGGACTGATAATGTAAGTCATTATGTATATTTTTTTGAATTCTCAAATTTATAAGCATATGGAATGTTTTTGAGCTTTCATTGAATGAAAATGTTTAGTTTAAAATCATTCAGTCAATGTTACACTTGTACTAATTTGCATGTGTTTTGTTAAGTGGAATTTCATCATACAAATGTTGTATCTTTTATTTTACTACTTCAACAGATTAAAGATATTTAAAAGGAATGTCAGTATGATTAATATTAAAAGGATGATAATTACATTAATAAAAATACTGCAGGACAAATATAAGAAAGCTAGGATTTGATAAAGTAAAAAATACTTATGATGGGTGGACAAGTGTCTTGAAAAAAAATAAGAAAAAAAATCATATTTATTCTCCCAAAAGTGTAAGAGTAGCAATATATTAGTAATGTAGATTCAGTCTTGATGTAAAATAATTTCTTAGTTCTTTGTCTTTTGTTAATCTTTATTCTTTCATGTTCTTTGTTAGGCATTGATCTTAGCTAGATGTCAAGGTTCTGTAAGTTTGGCCTCTACAAAATCTTTGAAGAATATGCTTGGTGAAACTCCAGAATGGTTTGAACCTGCACCTCGAGTTACTAGCACTTTTGATGGAAGGTTTTTAGGCCTTGAGGTAAGATATGTTTTTTAATTTTCATAAATAGCATTTAAAATTAGGAAGTCAGAAACATTTACAGTACAAATACTTCCTTCCCCCCCAAGATTTGACTAATCAGCAGTTAAATATCCATGTACAGAAGAATCAAGAATTTTTGGTGTCAGTTTACCAAAAATGTAATGACTTTCACATACATGTTGGGAGAAAAATGAACTAATAAATCTAATGGATATATTCTCATTCTGTACCAATTCTGAAAATTATAACCTTTTATTACATTTTGTTGATTTAATGAATAAAAATATAAACTGTAAAATTCTTATATATTTATTGTTTACAAGGTATTTCATATATGTGGAAATTCTGAAAAGTCCTTTGCCCAATCTGATATATTTCAAAACAGGATTGAATTCATACCTTTATTCAATTTAATTCAACTACAGCCTTAATTTAGGAACATAACACTACATATAAACCAAAACTGAAGACAAAACAATTTTACTCAAATTCTTAGATAAAGGTAAACAATAACATGTTCTTCTAACATTCCTGAAGAATAAATAATTAGAAGAAACTACAATAATATTTGAGTTAGTTCATTTAGAACTTGAAGTCTAATGGAAATATATTTCTTCTTCAAAATTTTATTTACAAAGCATAATCATCAAATTTACTCTTTGTAATGTATGCATTTAGATCATTCAAGGGTTGCAGGGTTATAAGAATCAGGGATATCAGGTTCAGATACTTAAGCATTGGCATTCCTAATAAGTGATGGTGTCTTGAGAGTTTGGTTTTCAGAATGATTTCATAGATCTTTGTGATTTATTTCATTTTATAAGGGATGTGCTATATTCCTGATACCAGATTTGGAGACTGTATTAACCTCAGATTTCTGTTTCATCTCCATTATCAAATTCTTCCTCAGAGTTGCCACAAGGTGCTAAATGCCAAAATACAATGGTCTTGATGCCATTTGGTAGCCTGGATTGATTTCCAGTAATTCCACCTCATCTACTAAAGGCTCATATTTTGACAAGTAAACATTGTAACTCCTGTACATAGGACCTGGGATAATCAGCCAAGAGAATAGGGTAATGTCACTAGCAGATTCTCTTTGAAACATAGACAGACACATGGTGTAGAGTTGGCAACAACAACTGAAATAAGTCCAACCCAAGGATTTCAGTGGAAGAGAAAGTTTTCCAGATTACCCCATTGAAGCTTTTAGCCTGCTCATTTTCTTGATAATTATAGGCTGTGGTATAGCTTGTTCCAGTGCCATTATTAAGGAGGAAACCCTTTATTTTTCTGAATAGAAAAGAAAATGCTATTTTCAGAATGAAAAGAGGGTCACCAAAAATGGAGAAAAGCTGAGTATTTATGACACTTTATGACAGAGAGGACATATCAGAACATGTCTGTACAATTATTGTGCATTTGTCTACTTTTGAAAATATACATCAGTTTATTTAGAAATTATTTAAATACATATAAGCATTCACATATTCTTTATAACTATTTGCTATGATTCACTTTATTATTGCTTCAGAGTAGAATTATTTGCTTAAAATCGGTTACTGTAATTTCATAATAATAATAATAATAGTATTAAATATTTAATTTATATTTTTAAAACTTGTTCAACAGAAAGAACTTTCTATACTTACAAATGAACTTACAATGACATCTGTATACTTACAATCTTTTAAATGTTACCACAAATGAAATAATTTAGAAGAAAAAGCTAGAGAGAGAAATATAAATTTAAATATTGTTAATAATACTTTATACTAATTATTAATCATGTTATAATATTATAGTTTTTAAAGTAAATATTGGAAGTCTTTAGTTTGGTCACACTTTATCTTGCAGTGTGCTTGTAAATTTGTGACAAAACACAGCTTAGGGAATACTTCAAGTAACAACCCTTTGTCTGATGATCAGTTTGAAGACAGTGATGATGAAGAAATATCTTGGATGAGAAAAACTTCACAATACACCAAACAAGTATTGTATTATATTACAGACAATGAATGTTTTAAACCAATGCATAAGAAACCCAGGTAAGTTTATTTATAGTTTTGTCTTTATATATTTTCCAGGGGTTTTTTATTATTAAGATTATGTGATTTTGAGGAACCTATAAAAGTGTGCATATGAAGAATTCAAATAAGGAATAAAATTTTTAGATCCATTAAGTTGTTTGGTTTGTATTAACATTTATAAAAAATGCCACCACTGTAAACAATATTTTGTAATTGTTAATTTTATTATTCCTTCCAACTATGTTAACCGAAAGCTTTCATGAATACAGAAAAAAATACCTGTTTAATGTATAATACATTTGTTAGAATAAATCAATTTTGGCAGAAGCAGTGGTATTTGTATTTTATAATTCAGGAAGTGTTCACAAGTGTTCTTTCATCAAAATCATTATTACACTAACATAGCAAAAATCATGAGATAGGTTTCTAGTATTGTGTAGGTCCCTCTTCTAGTCCAGTGAAGTGCAGTAACTCAGCATGGCATTGATTCTACAAATGGTCAGAAGGCCTTGAGTGAGTTGCCAATCTATGCCTTCTCTATAGATGTCCACAATTGTCCGTCTCTCTTGGTATTTCATCTAAGCCCACCATCTTGGCTGTTGCTTTGGCAATTCTGATTTCTAGTCTGCATAGACAAATAGGCAGTCTTAACCTTTAGTCACTAACTGTAATTATCTTTTAATCATACTTATGTCATCTTATATATTTGTTTCTTATCTCAAAAAATCCTATTTCTCGATTTGTTTATATTTTCAAATTGTCAAAGCTATTTCTGCACTTTGACAGACAGGCATAAGTCAGTCTCTTGATTCTTCCCTCATCCTCAAAATTATCAACTAACCTTGAAATGCATTTCCACTTTGAGACCTTTCACATGGTCTTCCAATAAAGTCATTCTTTTCAGATCTGTTTTTTCTTCCTTCCTTCAATTCATATGTTATTCTGTACATCTGTTCCAGTTTATATTCAAAATTAACTCTTTCTTTTTACAATTGTGTCACATAAGTGATAAGTGGTTCTTTAATTACCATTGGCGAGGGAAGCAATTAGGTGTAAGGGTGGTGTTAGTAAGGCTGGAAGTTGATGGATTTGATGGGTTGGTTGACCAAAGGTCACAGTGGTGATGATGAGAGAGGCCTGGAATGGATTAATGAAGCCACATTGTAGTGCAAGTGGGGTGTTGTTGGCCTGGGTTGATCCATCTATAATCAGGGTTGAAATTGACACCAGTGAGGCGTGATGATAAGTTGGTGGTCATGTGATGAAGTTGAGGCAATTGTGCCAAAGTGCCTGTTGTTGGCAAGGCACACCATTTTAATATCTGTGGTTTAACATGTGTTGGCTCCTAGGTTCATCAATTTTTTTTTTGTGACTGGCTATTTATTTTGTGGACTGGATGTGATACTTGTGCAGAAGATGACTTTTTTATTTGGAGTTATACTTTTTTAGTGCTCACATCCAGCTGACATGTCTAATGAAATGTATTTGTGAATCAGAAAGAGACTTTGATAAAAGTAGCATAACACATATGGACAAGGGTGTCGCCATTCCCGCAATTTCTGGGCACAAACGTCCGCGTTGACCGTATCTACAAAAGTATTCAATTCCCTGTAGTCCATGACCGGTCTCACTTTCTTCTTATTCTCTTGCACTATTGCCATTTACAGAATCAGTCCTCGAGGCGGCCCTAACTCCTCCTCGGGGTATGGCGCAAGACAGCCGTTTGTTACCCAAAGCTGCAATTCATTTTCGCATTCACTCCTGATATGCTCTGGAACCGGGTACTCGGCTATTTTATTTTTCAGTGGCATGGGCGTTTCGTCCACCGCCCACTTCCACATTGCGGTCCATAATGGCGCTCTGCGCTGGTCGAAAGTTGCACTGAAGTCAGGTTCGTTAATCCTCAAGGCAGCACAGATGGGCGGATCAGAAAAACTCGACTTCGCCTCCCGCCTCTGTGATCGACGCCCCAGCTCCTTAATAATGTCCATCCCAAGGAGCAGATCAAAACCTAATAACGCTGTCCCGACCAACACGCTGACTGTAACGGGGTTACCGTTGTTGATAGTGAGTTTGATGTTTCCAACTCCCCGGCTTCTGAGAGCTTTTCCATCAGCCGTTAGTACATCCATCTTTTGTCTGCTCCACTGTCGACAAATTGAACCGTTCGTGAGTAACCGAGAGCAACCTGAATCTTTTAAAGCGGTACGCGTTATTCCATTTATGCGCACCTTAATCACAGGGAGCGCCTCTTTCATGCTCAGTGCGGAGAAGAGACTGGCTGATGTCGCATCCCCCATTCTATTTCCCGGACACTTAGAGGCAATGTGACCTACTTTATGACATTGGAAACATCGTAGATCGAAATGTGCTTTTTGTGCCGACCCGCTGCGCATTGCTTTGCGTTGATAGCGGCAATCTTTGGCAAAATGATTCGGCCCAGAGCACCGATAGCAGGTGACATCGCCATGGCAAAGGATGGCTGGGGTCGGATCCTCTTTGACTTCAATTGGCTGAACGACTGCGGCCACTGGTTCATCAGCCTCTTTTTCGTCGATCATGATAGCACAGGCTCTGGTCAACAATTGATTGAGCGTCATGTCTTCCATTCTGGATGATGCACAGAGTATCTGCTTAACATGACTAGGCAATCCAGACATGAAGGCACAGGTCATCCATTCTTCAGGAAGCGGTGCGATCAGTAGGGCGAGCTTCTTTAATTCTGCCAAATATACGTCTACTGTCTCGCCAGGTTGCAGACGCTGTGCCTGGAATTGGTCATAGGCTATGAACCGGTTAGTAGAGTGTGCTTTATTTGCTCAGTGTCACTTTTCTGTTCTTTGCTCAGCTGCCTATACGCAGCAAGGGCACCGCCTTTCAATCGCAGTGGAAGAATCCATTCAATCTTCGTGATCTTGCATAATTCGCAGACCAGTTCCACCTTTTCGATCCATTCAACCACAGACTGTCCACTCGTATCACCACTGAATTCGGAGATCAGTTTTATGTCAAATGGTCTTTCCGCCATCTTGCTAGAGACAAAGTAAATGCCGAAATAGCTTGTGTTGGAATGTGTCATGAAAAAATAAATGATTTTGTCTTTTTCTCTCCTGCTGTCATAGCGACGGACACAATCTCCACTTCTGAGACTGAAAAACACTGCCCTCCTTCGCATTCCAGCCCTTTACATAGAGCTTGGTAACTCACCTATGCAAAACACCAACAAGCCAGCTACCAATCACAGTTTCCACGCCTGCCCACCTCCACTCGCTTTGGGGGTGTCAAGTTGACCGACCAACTCATTACAAAAACTCTTTTCAAAACCCCAGTAAAAGAGAGACATTAAGACAAGACCCTATTCCCCCAAAATAATGAGTCAAACAATAATGATGAAGAAAACAAAATCTCCACTGGAACTGGAAAAACAACAGAAAATAGGAAGGGAACAACATCTGGATCTATCACACCTTTCACCACTTCCCTGTATCATTGATGTAGATGTTCATTGGGCAAGTAAATTAATATACACATTTGGTCAAACCAGATGGTCTCATAATAGACATGCAACAATAAGAGGCTCTAGAAAGTAGGGTTGTCTTACTATTTGTTGTGGATAAAAAAAAAAAAAAATTATAAAATAACCTGAAAAATATATTATAAAAGCTATACTGGATCTTAGGAACAAATCCAACAGATTGTGAGAGAGAGAGAGATTACCCAATGTGGGATATTTTATTACCCTTACCAGAAGAATGTGCTGCACTTGCAAAGTGAGAAAATAAGGAATGCATATTTAGGATGGAGTACTAAAGACAAAGAAAATGAGGGTGACAGTTTACGAAATCCCAAGTTTTATCTTTAGTCAGCAAGTGGGAGCATTCCTGCTATAATATGGAACAATTGTAGAAGTTAACCCAGACAGAAAGATGGGTGAAGGAGATTTGAGCTAATGATGAACAGATAAGCTTTCAATGATATACTCAATTGGCTAGATGAAAAATGAACAGAAACTACTGTTTCACAGTCTGCCCTAGAAAAAATGCCGCAGAGAAAGCAACAATCAATTATCAGGTAGTTTCCTTATTTTCCAAAGCAACAGCACACACCACTACTGGTTCAAGTAATAAATACTAAGTCACAACACACTACCCACCCATTATCACCAGAGACCAAAGATAAAACTGATGGAGAATGGCAGATTAAGAGAGGAGCAAAGAAATCATTGGTAGAATATTTCACTCCTTACTAGGACCCTGTTTGGACAATGAAGGAGTGACAAGAAAATCTCATGTAGATACTTTGAAGAGAAGAGGAAAGGTAAAAAGAGAAAAAAATTTTGGTTTTTAAAAAGAATTTAGAGAAGAGTGAAGCCAAGGACAAGCCAGTAGAAGGAGTCACCTCTAACTATAAGTCTTTCCCAAATTGTAAGGAAATAGACAACCACACTTTCCCACCCCAAAACAAATGGTGAAAACAGACAAAAATTCTTCAACCTCATCCTATATTTCTCCCATTCTTTCACCCTCACAAAAAAATAATTCACCTTCTCCTCACTCCCCTGCTAATGACCAATTTTCAATCACCTTCATCTCCACTGACACCACCAATAAACAAATGACCAAGGACCTACCCTAGAGGCAGTTCAGAAGAGGAGCTTCCTCATAAAAAATCCTTTGAATAAAAAAGAAATTTCACTCAGGTGAAGATGTCTGTCATGTGGATACGTACACTCTGGAAAAAAAAGAGCCACAGTACTTGAGGGCCCTAAGAGTCCTGCAAAATTTGAAAAAGGTGAGCAACAAAAATGTAGTGAACCCTATGAATTTTCCTCAGGCCCAGAGAATATTAACAATAATCTGAGTAGGTTTGGGTACACTACAGATCTGAGATATAGTGGAGGAGGCTAATGCTTCCATCAGGATATCTCCCTCACTGGCTCTGATAGTTTCTTAAATGCTTCATCTTCTAAGACAATTTTGTTCTGGAAGGGTCTCTGTTTTCAATCATCCATCCCTATA